ACACAGAGATGACAGTGGCGGAGTTGACCATTGACGCCTCTCCAGTAGGTCTCGCATATAGAGCTCAAGAGAATAGTCCGAGTACGCAGATACTAATGACGTATTACGTAATTATTCGCACGAGGTCTTTGGTAAGCCTTTGATGTTGCAAACACGCTAGTCTAGTTCCAATTGAAATTTACAGTTTTGGTAGGACACAATTTGGTATGTAAACTAAATTTATGTTGAAAAGATAGATAAAACGCCTCTCTTTAGTTTGCCAGCTAAGTCATATATTTAAGTACATTTGTAGATTTATTAGAATGATATTTGTATGCTGCCCAAATGTAGCAAATTGGCAGCCATATTACTTCATACCCGCCATATTGATAGTAGTAGCAATTCATTTACGAAATGATGAGTTTGCCTGTCTGTTATTTCGTATGAAAACGAATTTGTATTGATAATTGATCGATGTAACTATGATTTACGTCTAAGCTGTGTCTGTGAAGTGTATAGTAATTAATGTAAACTTTGTTGGAAGTCTATTATTTGACAGTACGCAAAAAGGCCTAAATTTTAGGGACAGTCTAGTCCACGACAGATTAAGTTAAGATTTTTAGATGTTGATGTGTGTTCTTATTGTTGCTTTTGTCTCGTTGCAGCTAATATGTCTATGTTTGTACACTTGTAAGTGTATTCCATGCACCAGACAATATTGAAGTTATAATGTCATAATTTAGAACTTGAATAATGTCTTTGCTGATGTGATGTTAAAATGATGTTATTCTGAGTCTGCAGATCAGATCTATATCTTATTGACCTGTCATATTATGAGATGGATGTTCTGAAATATTATCGTCATTAAACCTTGTCATAGAGTAAAGTTGTTCTGATGTTTGGAAACTTATTCAGCAAACCTACCGCAATTTTAGTAGTCGCATTATGTCTAGTTAGCCGCAGCTACATCTTAATTAGCAAATTATTACCAGATTTCAGTTGGAACCAGTCTACCGTTTGTTTGAAAATGGATCCGAATTATAGAAGAAGTGTGTCTGCTGAAAACTTGTTAAGTCCACGCATGTTAAGTCACGGTTTCGTCCAGAAGTCGTTGCGTGAGTTTTCTTCAGATGTAAATAGTCCACGCTTGTTAAGTCCAGATATCCGTAAGACGGTATCTGAGCGTGTGTTTCGTAAGAACTCTCCTCATGGTAGCTTGTTAAGTCCACTCTTGTTAAGTCCAGGTGTTGTCGAAACGTCTGAGAGTGTGTTACCAAGGAACAGTACTGGTGGAAGCTTGTTAAGTCCGTGCTTGTTAAGTCCAGGTATTGACGTAATACCTGAGCGCGTGTTTCCGCCAGACTCTAGTCAAAATGTCAGGTCCGAATGCTATGTGTCCTGTCATTCAACTAACAGTTATGTTAATGATACTAATGTTGAAGTTCTGATTAACAAACTGAATATTAGAAACAAAGATATAACTCTTCTGATAATAACAGGAATTGATGTAGAAACTGTTAGATCAAAGTATAAAGAATGGTTGAGTCTTTATGAACAGTATCAAGTCTGTGTAAATAAAACTAAATTTACGAAATTGGGCAGTCCTGATTTGCGAATATTCGATAGTGAGGTCAAAAGGTTTCGAAATTATGTTGAAGAGTGGTTTCAGCTCCAAAGAACCGACTCTCAGATAAGACCTGAAGACAGTGCCAGTAATCATGGAAGCAGAAAGTCTACAAGATCTAGTTCTCGGTATACTGACATATCATTGATCAAAATTCGACAAGAGCAAGAACGGGCAGTATTGTTAGAAAAACAGAAATTGTTAATAAAGAGACAGCAACTAGAGAAAGAGAAATTAGAGATAAAACTACGCGAAGAACAACTAAATCTAGAGACAGAAGTGGCTGTCGCAGAAGCAAAGGCTAATGTTATTGATCGTGAACTTTTACAAAATGGTTCTTCACGCTCCTGCCAAACTTATGTTAAACAATTACATGTCAATTTAAGTAATTCAAGTGGTGTTTCAAATTTTGTTAGTAACAAAGATTGTAAACCTTTAAAAAAGGGCTCTTCACACATTTGTCAAACTTCTGATAAGCCATTAATTGTCAATCTTAGTAACTTAAATGGTACTCCAAATTTTGTAAACAATGAAATTCAGTCAGCGTCTATTGCAAAAGTTAATTCAAATTATGATTTTAACCGTGATCTTATACAGTCTCTTAAGAGACCTCAAATTGATGTCAAAAAATTTGGAGGCGATCCAATTGAGTATAATAGATTTATGAGACAATTGAGTTCCAATGTTTTGATATTCTGTGACAATTTTGAAGACCGGCTTAATATTTTAGAAAATTATACATATGGTCAGCCCCACCGCATTGTCTCTGGACTCAGTTATCTTAATGCCGAGATAGCTTTCAATACTGCACTTAGAGAATTTGATAAACGATATGGTGATACGGACATTATTGCTTCAGCCTTTGTTAATAAGGCATTAAAGTGGCCTCCTATCAAATCTGATAACGCAAAATCATTGGACGAATTTGGTATTTTCTTGACAGAATGTTTAAATGCTGTTATAAACATTAATTCTGTAAAAATCTTAGATTATCCTGAGAATTTAAAGCAATTAGTCAGTAAGTTGCCTTACTATCTTCAAGATCGGTGGAGAAATGTGGCTTTAAGGGTTAAGGGTGCTAATTGTATTCCATCTTTTGAGGATTTAGTTAAGTTTATCCGTGAAGAATCTAGAAAATTATCAGATCCTATTTATGGTAAAGATGCCATGCAGGCAATTTGTTCCCCAGTACAACCCCCTCAGCTTAACAGGCCACCACACTTTAGTCAAGGGTCACAAAGGCAGAGATCTAAGAATTTTCATATAGATGTAAATAAGAAACTCATATGTCACTTTTGTGGTGAAAAACATTTCATTAATGATTGTGGAAAACTTAAGAAACTTTCTTATGATGAAATCTATAAATATATTCGTGATGAAGACCTTTGCTTTGGTTGCCTTAAACCTGGGCATAGACGTTATCGATGTTGGTATAAATTAGATTGTTTGAAATGTAATGTAAAACATCCAACCATATTGCATAATGACAAAAATGGAGAAAGGGATGGTTCTCATATGGAGGCCGGTCCTGCACAGCAGAGTTGACTATGCACATGTACAATGCCCATAGTACCGGTTAAAGTTGTAAATGGGTGTAAAATTGTTGAAACTTATGCTTTCAATGATTCTGGGAGCAGTGTGTGTTTCTGTACACATACTTTAATGTATGCCTTAGGTCTAAGTGGTAAACAAACTAGTGTTAATTTACAAACTATGAATAAATCTAATAGTATGCCTACTATTATATTAAGTAATATCAAAGTTTACAGGTACGATATGTCAGATTCTATCATTATTAAGAGTTGTTATACTATTGATCAAATTCCTGTGACAAAGAGTGATGTCCCTTTAGTTAGTGATATCTCAAAATATCCACATCTTGAGGATATTGACATCCCAGAATTAAACTGTGATGTTGGTTTGTTAATAGGTAATAATGTTGCTGAAGCCTATACTCCTCAAGAGTATAGGATAGGGCCACAAGGCTCTCCCCACGCGTCTAAGACTGCAATAGGATGGATATTGTGGAATGTCATGCGCGAAGAGAATGAATCATCAAAATTAATGGCAAATCGTGTCTTGAGTAACAGTATAAATTTATGTGCTGAAATTGAACAATCTCAAAATTTAGATAGACTTGTTCGGACTATTATTAATTTAGATTTTCCGGAACGAAACATTGACGATAAGAAGGAAAATTCGGTGTTAGATGAACGCTTTATTAATAATGTCAGTGATTCAATTATTCTTGATTCTAGTGGGCATTATCAAATTGATATTCCCTTTAAGGATAATAATGTTGTGTTACCTAAAAATTTTAATATGGCACTTGATAGACTTGAATCTTTACGGAGAAAGTTTAGAAAAAATCAGAAATTTCATGAAGACTACACAAACTTTATGAATTCCATGTTTGAAAAATCTTATGCTGAGGAAGTCCCCAAAGAGGAGATTAATTGTGACAATGACAGACTATGGTTTATACCCCATCATGCGGTAGTTCACAAACAGAAGGGGAAATTACGTGTAGTTTACGATTGTTCGGCTAAATACAGAGGTGTATCTTTAAATGACACCTTATTATCTGGTCCAGATTCAACTAACACTTTATTAGGTGTCTTATTGCGTTTTCGATTAGGTAAAATAGCAGTTATGGCAGACATTGAAGGAATGTTCTTTCAGGTAAAGGTCCCACCAAAACAGAGACATAGTTTACGATTTTTGTGGTGGCCTAATGGCAATTTATCTGTTGAACCTAAACAATATCAAATGACAGCTCATCTTTTCGGGGCAGTGTCTTCTCCAAGCTGTGCGAACTTTGCCTTAAAAAGTACTGCAAACAACAATTCTCATAGATTTAATGACTATGTTTGTCAAAGTGTTTTAAATGACTTTTATGTCGACGACTTATTAAAATCGACAGACCTTCCAGAGGATGAGGTTGTAGGCCTTGTACAGGATCTCACAAAACTTTGTAAATTAGGAGGCTTTCACCTTCATAAGTGGATAAGTAATAGTGCATTCGTTCAGGACTCAATTCCGCTAGCTGAACGTGGTAAATTGTCGCAAATATCGTTATTAGAAGACGACCCTGTTATAGAAAGGGCCTTAGGATTATTATGGGATGTTTCGTCCGACTCGTTAACATTTCAAATAAACTTAAACAGCAAACCCTATACAAGAAGAGGGGTCTTATCTATTGTTAGTGCTGTATACGATCCTTTGGGTTTGGCCGCACCTGCGCTGCTCCCTGCTAAAATATTACTTCAGGAATTGTGTCAAAGTGCTTACGGATGGGACGATAAAATTAGTGAAAGATATTCATTGAACTGGTCAGAGTGGTTGTTGGATTTACCACTATTACAAACTCTTAGAATCCCTCGATGTGTTAAGACTATTTCATTTTGTGATGCTGTATCAACTCAGGTTCATCATTTTTCCGATGCAAGTGAAGCCGGGTATGGTGTATCGAGTTACCTGAGGCTAGTCGATAGTAATGGCGTAATAAACTGCTCATTAATCTTAGGAAAATCGAGAGTAGCACCCCTGAAGAAGATTTCGATTCCACGTATGGAATTAACTGCAGCAACAATTGCGACCAGGTTAAACAAGAAGCTTATTGATGAACTCAAGTGTCGGATTGACAAAGTGTATTTTTGGACAGACAGCACAACTGTGCTGAGGTACATTTCAAACGATGCAACAAGGTTTAAAACCTTTGTGGCTAATCGCGTGTCAGTTATTCGCGAAGCTACATCTGTTGATCAATGGAACTATATTTCATCGAAAGAAAATCCGTCGGATGTTGCATCACGTGGTTGTAGCGTTAAGACTCTTATGAATGACAATAATTGGTTTAAAGGTCCAAGTTTTCTACAGGATGATCAATCAACGTGGCCTAGTGGTAAAATTCCAAACAATTTGGATCAAGATGAAATCAGCGATTCAGAAATTAAACGTGTTGTGACTGTAACTGTTGAACGTGAAAGTCCAATTGACAAACTTGTTAAACATTATTCTAACTGGAAATGTCTTGTGCGTGCTGTAGCGCTATTAAGGCAGTGCGTCAGATGGTGTCGAAATAAATTAACTAGCTTTACATTGACTGTCGAAAATTTGGAGGAAGCCAAATCATGTATTGTCAAGCATGAACAATTAAAGTTCTTAGGCGAAATTGTCGAAGTTTGTGAACAAAACAATCAAGAACATAAAGCCAAACTTTTAAGGTCTATAAATGTGTCAAAATTAGATCCGTATGTTGCCAACGGTGTTTTACGGATCGGTGGACGATTGCGCAGAGCAGATATGTGTTTAGATGCATAATATTGCCTAAAAACTCTATAATTTCAACACTGATTGTGAGAGAAGCCCATGCTCGCGTTGGACATTTGGGTAAAAACGCTACACTTTCAGAAGTTCGTAAAGTTTTCTGGATAATTGGTGCAAGTAACTTAATTAAATCGATTATCTCAAAGTGTGTTGTATGTCGTAAATATTCTGCGACCAAACTGCAACAGAAAATGGCTGATTTGCCTGCTGAGCGTTTAATATCGGGTGAAGCGCCATTCCATAGGACAGGAATAGACTACTTCGGACCTTTTGAGATCAAACGCGCAAGATCGGTTGTAAAGCGTTATGGCGTTATTTTTACGTGTATGAATAGTAGAGCAGTACATTTGGAGATTGCATCATCATTGGACACTGACTCGTGTATCAATGCAATAAGACGTTTTATCGCACGTCGTTCTATGCCAAAATTTATCCGTTCTGACAATGGGTCAAATTTAGTCGGGGCCAACAGAGAACTTAAACTATGTATTGATAAATGGAACAAAGATAAACTAACAAAGGAATTCACTCAGAAAGGAATTCGTTGGGAATTTAATCCACCTGCCGCTTCCCATTTTGGTGGTGTTTGGGAGCGTTTAATTCGGATTGTTCGCAAAGTGTTGTGTTCGCTACAAAAGGATCAGATTAGTCGTCTCGACGATGAGTCGCTTCAAACATTAATGTGTGAAGTTGAGCACATATTAAACAATCGACCGATTACTAAAGTTGCTGAAACTCCAAACGATTTGGATGCATTATCTCCTAATCAACTGTTATGCGTAGGATACAAGAACTTGTCTTATTCACCATCAGCAACTGAGAAAGCAGATAGTTACATAAAGCGTCGCTGGCGTCAAGTTCAATATTTAACTGACATATTCTGGAAACGTTGGATCCATGAGTATTTGCCATGCTTACAGGAGCGCCAAAAGTGGTTATATCCAAAACGAAATGTGGAAATAGGTGATATTGTGCTTGTAATTGATAGTAATATCAGAAATTCGTGGGCCTTGGCTCGTGTTATAAGTGTTATTACTGATAAAGGTGGTTTATCGAGAATAGCAACAGTTAAAACCAAAAGTGGTATATTGCAACGCCCAATTTCAAAGTTGTGCTTAGTGTTAGAATGTGACGAAAAGTTATAAGAACACAATTTGTGTTAAAATCACAATACTCCGTCCATAAATATGGATATGTGAAATAAATTTCAGTATTATAATATTGAAAATCATAATCAGTGAAATGCATGTATGTAAGACTGTAAATATTTAAAATACTTTGGAATGCTGTATTGTTTGATTAGTTATTGCAATTAGTTATTAGTTAAGGCTTTGTAATTGCTACTCTAGTTTTGTCAATTAGTTATTAGTTAAGGTTTTTTGTAATTGCTACACTATGTTTCGTCAATTAGGAGGCCGGAATGTAGACTTCACACAGAGATGACAGTGGCGGAGTTGACCATTGACGCCTCTCCAGTAGGTCTCGCATATAGAGCTCAAGAGAATAGTCCGAGTACGCAGATACTAATGACGTATTACGTAATTATTCGCACGAGGTCTTTGGTAAGCCTTTGATGTTGCAAACACGCTAGTCTAGTTCCAATTGAAATTTACAGTTTTGGTAGGACACAATTTGGTATGTAAACTAAATTTATGTTGAAAAGATAGATAAAACGCCTCTCTTTAGTTTGCCAGCTAAGTCATATATTTAAGTACATTTGTAGATTTATTAGAATGATATTTGTATGCTGCCCAAATGTAGCAAATTGGCAGCCATATTACTTCATACCCGCCATATTGATAGTAGTAGCAATTCATTTACGAAATGATGAGTTTGCCTGTCTGTTATTTCGTATGAAAACGAATTTGTATTGATAATTGATCGATGTAACTATGATTTACGTCTAAGCTGTGTCTGTGAAGTGTATAGTAATTAATGTAAACTTTGTTGGAAGTCTATTATTTGACAGTACGCAAAAAGGCCTAAATTTTAGGGACAGTCTAGTCCACGACAGATTAAGTTAAGATTTTTAGATGTTGATGTGTGTTCTTATTGTTGCTTTTGTCTCGTTGCAGCTAATATGTCTATGTTTGTACACTTGTAAGTGTATTCCATGCACCAGACAATATTGAAGTTATAATGTCATAATTTAGAACTTGAATAATGTCTTTGCTGATGTGATGTTAAAATGATGTTATTCTGAGTCTGCAGATCAGATCTATATCTTATTGACCTGTCATATTATGAGATGGATGTTCTGAAATATTATCGTCATTAAACCTTGTCATAGAGTAAAGTTGTTCTGATGTTTGGAAACTTATTCAGCAAACCTACCGCAATTTTAGTAGTCGCAGTATGTCTAGTTAGCCGCAGCTACAATAATGAATCTATACTCTGAGTTTCATCACTCTCACCCAATGGCAATTAGATACAAAGTGTTCTAAAGTCTCAAATAGTGATGGAGATATGTCATCTTGAATGTCGAAAAAGAATGAAGAAAACTTTCGCAAATGTTTGATGTTAATATTAATCGAGCGAACTTTCTAATTTCGAAAAAACGTCAGTCAGAGGCATGGTACCATATTCTGCCTTAAACAATAAAAATAAATTGTTCACAGAATCTTAACAAATTTCTTGTGAATGACTTGTAGAATAAATCATTTAAGCTAATATTATTTTATTTTTAGCAATTTTATTTTATTTGTTTTAGATGCATTATAATGACTATATGGGGAAGGGGGGAGAGGTAATTTTTAGGGTTTCACACTGCGTAGCTTGTGTGAAACACTATTGTTTTTGTTCGGATTATTATTCTTCCATTTTGGTCATATCTCAGAAACCACTTGTCGGATTGATCCAATTTCTTCGGTTTCACTGGGAAAGTGGGTGTGACTTAGAGATTAAAGCTATTTTGAACGTTCTGTGACAATGCGAAATGTCCGAAATCACCGTAGTGGTTTATTTTTATACGTCCACATTCATAATGTGAACGTATTATGCCGTCGCCCCTGTCTGTGTGTGTGTGTGTGTGTATGTATGTATGTGTGTGTGTGTGTGTGTGTGTCTGTGGTTCGCCTACAGGGCGCAATTCTTCATGGATTTTCTTCAAACTTGGTATACTTATTCCTTATACCCCAAGGAAGATCCCTATTGTTTTTGGTGCATGCCCGACCCCCCGGGGCAGAGCCACGCCCATTTCTAGTATTTGTTTGTTTGTCGTCTACAGGCCACATTTCTTAACTAATAATCTTGAAACTTTGCATACACATTCTTTGTACCCTAAGGAACATCCCTATCGTTTGGGGTGCATGCCCAACCCCCAGGGGCAGAGCCACGCCCATTTTCTTTTCGTGTGTCTTTGTGTCGCCTACAGGGCGCAATTCTTACTGGATTTTCTTCAAACTTGGTATACTTATTCCTTATACCCCAAGGAAGATCCCTATTGTTTTTGGTGCATGCCCGACCCCCAGGGGCAGAGCCACGCCCATTTCTAGTATTTGTTTGTTTGTCGTCTACAGGCCACATTTCTTAACTTATAATCTTGCATACACATTCTTTGTACCCTAAGGAACATCCCTATCGTTTGGGGTACATGCCCAACCCCCAGGGGCAGAGCCACGCCCATTTCCCATTTTCTTTTCGTGTGTCTTTGTGTCGCCTACAGGGCGCAATTCTTACTGGATTTTCTTCAAACTTGGTATACTTATTCCTTATACCCCAAGGAAGATCCCTATTGTTTTTGGTGCATGCCCGACCCCCAGGGGCAGAGCCACGCCCATTTCTAGTATTTGTTTGTTTGTCGTCTACAGGCCACATTTCTTAACTTATAATCTTGCATACACATTCTTTGTACCCTAAGGAACATCCCTATCGTTTGGGGTACATGCCCAACCCCCAGGGGCAGAGCCACACTTTATATACTTATTCTTTGTACCCTAAGGAACATTCCTATCATTTGGAACATCCTTATCATTTGGAGTAGGCCCTACATGCCCAACCCCCAGGGGCAGAGCCATGCCAATTTTCTTTTTTGTATTTGTTAGTTTGTCATCTACAGGACGCATTTCTTAACGGATTCTCTTGAAACTTTGTATACTTATTCCTTATACCATAAGTATCACCCCTATTGTTTTTGGTGCATGTCCAACCCCCATTTCTTTCTTTGTGTGTCGCCTACAGTCCGCAATTCTTAATGGATGTTCTTGAAAACTTTTCATACTTATTCCTTATACCCTAAGGATGACCTCTATTTTTTTTGGTGCATGCCCCACCCCCTAGGACAGTTCCATGCCCAATTTTTGTGGGTGTCTTTGTGTCGCTTACAGGCCGCAATTCTGAACAAATTCTTTTGAAACTTTGCATATCTATTCCTTATACCCTAAGGATTATTCCTATTATTCTTGGTGAATGCCCGACCCCCAGGGCCTGAGCCACACCCATTTTTCGTTTGGGTCTGTGTGGTGCCTACTGGCCACAATTTTAATGGATCGTCTTGGAACTTGGTATATGTATTCCCTTTATCCAAACTATTGATTTTGGTGCATGCCCGGACTCCTAGGGGCAGAGTTGTGCCCAATTTTTGTGTTTATCGTATACTGGTAGGAATTCTGATGAATCATCTTCAAACTTGGCATATGTATTACTTATAGCCTAAGTTTGCAATTATTTACAGATATTGTTCAAATCGGCATATCAATTATTTCAATAACAGATTTGTTCCTATTTATATATTTATATTGATCCATATTTGACCCCCAGGGGCAGAGTCACACCCAATTTTTGTGTTTGTCTACTTTCTGCAATTCTGAATGGATCATCTTTGAACTTTGCATATTTATTCCTTATGCAGCAACGACGCCAACTATTTATTTTGGTGCATGCCCTGAACCCCTGGGACGTGTCACACCCAGCGCCTAGCCTTCTTTGCCTCTTGTCATATTATAGTCATCAATCAAAGCAGGAATGTGGACGTATATTGCAGCGGTAGCGATGCTCTTGTTTAAATTTTGTCGTAACATTTACAATAATTGCCGGATTTTAACATTTGATACATTTTGACATAGGCAGAGACAAGGCACGTAGCTACGGTTCTTTAGATTGTTGATTTTCGATGAATCTTCGGAGATATTAGGCGCCAAATTTTGAAAATTTAAATTTTTACAAAAAACTTTTTTATTAATGAATATTTTTTGATGATATTTTATCCAGGGCTAAAGGGTCGTCTGATTTGAGCGAAAATGTCAACAATTTTTGTCTAAATAATTTTCCTTGGCCGCTATTGGCTAATTCAGTTTTACGCTTCTAGATTCATTAATGATCGTTCGATTTGTTTGAAACAAAGTTCATATGCTCCGTTTTCCAAAATGTCATTTTTTTGTTATCGATAAAGTTTCCTGTCGACACCGGAAGTGGCATAATTTCAACAAAAACTATAATTTTGACAGTTCGGTCCCACTTTTTGAAAGCAAATATTATTTTTTCAAAATTTGTTATTACCAAATCGATGCGCAATGCAAAGGCGCACAAAACATCGGACTCAGTTTTTGTAATTTCGTTTTCGGGCTATTTCGATTAAAAGGTGAAAAAAGGTGTTAAATTAAGCTATTTACAACCCATTCAGCGTCTTAATATTTTAAAATATTTCTTCGTAACTTTCATAAACTCGTAGCAACAATCCATACGAAGAGAATGTATGTGAAAATTAGTTTGTAATATGAGCAGTTGCCGAGAAATGGGCAATTTTGCATGAGTGACTTTTTACGCTAGTTTGCTTGTAAAAGAGTCAATTATTATTGGATTTCCATAAAAGTGACACCATTTGATGCGTAATGTCAATATTAACTAGGTCAATTCAATTCAACATTTTCAATGTCACCGGAAATGACGTAATTTGGGCAAAAACTGTATTTATAGCCATTAAAACCAATAATTTATTCAAGTGAGTCGTATTTGTTATTTGTTTAAAATTTTGATATTTGATTCCAATCAACTAATAGAATGAACCCATACGATCATATAGATATCACAAAATGGTTTCTAACTTTTTCAGTTGCCGAGAAACAGACGATTTTCAACAGGTAACTTTTCAAGGTTTTTGGTTCATACAAGTAATTTAAGATTTTCATTATCACCGGAAGTAACGTCATTTGGGCAAAAACTGTATTTTTAGCCTTCAAAACAGATATTCATTCAAATGAGTCTGATTTTTAATATTCTTAAAATTATGATATTTGATTCCAATCAACAAATAGATTGAAACCATAAGATCATACAGATACCAAAAAATGGTTTCTAACTAGTACGGTTGCAGACAAAAAGTCACTTTTCAAGGTTTTTGGTCTATAAAAGTGGCATTTATTATTCGATTTACATAAACTTTTCACCATGTGATGCCTTATGCCATTTCTGATTTCATAAATCTAATTGAACATTTTCAATATCACCAGAATTACTGTACACTTACATGTAACAAATGTATAAAATGAATTGATATTGCTGGATTTGGTTGATTCGGCGTCCATTTTATTTGATCTGTGCAATGCTTATGTGGAAACCTGCTTAATGGTTTCATTGGTACCAGAAGTGACACATGTTTAAGGTAACGTGGCACCGGTGAAACCCGTCATTACTGCATCGCAGTTCTAGTTCATTTTGTTCTGGAAGCAGTGTCAGAAATCTGTAAAATGCTATCAGCAGCTCATATTACCCCATCCAAGTGGGGTAATATGGGTCATCACCCATTATTTTTCAAGCCCTACAGTACAGCAAGAAATTATACACTCACATTGCCTTTATATTTGATAAATTGAAAGATGAGTTCAGTAACTGTACTTGCTCAAAGCCTCGAATAATGTATAAATTGCAGCCGTAGATAAGAATTAACACGGTTATAAATTGCAGCTACACTAGTGTAGTTGTACTAGATACTACTACTACTAGTAGTACTAGTGCTAGAGCTTTGTTTCGTTTTGAATTCTTTGATTTACCCTAACGTTCGGATAAAATGAAAACACAAATAGCACCACTTCCTCTTTGCAGTTACACATATACTCACAGGGACTCGAACCAAGAGATCAAATAACAAAACTACATATATTATTACATTCGCTACCAACAACAACTACTTGTTTTACTTTCAATTCCACTTCCACTGATTGACTGCAGAAAACGCGAGCGTCCCACACATGCGTACTTAACAGCGATTTTTGTTACGCCGAACATTGGCGAACATATGGCAATTTGCGCTGTCTCTATGGGGGTCCTCGATTGAACGTTCCTTCAATTCCAAAAATAGTG